GGGGGGGGGGGGGGAATGTGTGTCTCAAAACACTGGGTTTTCCAAAGCCTCCCTGGCCAGCCCTGAATAAGAGAAACAACGGATACTTCAGTGCCCTGTTCCTCTATCTTCATGTACCTGATGGGAAGTTGAGGCCTGTCCTGGTTCATGGCTTTCACTGTTACCTCAGGAACCTCAGGGTGACTTTCCCAGGTGCCAAGTCCATGCAGCCCAACATATGAGTCCACAGGCAGCGGCCCTGAAGTGCAAGAACAGAAGTACAAGAAAGTGATGTCAGCATCATTCTCACTGGAACCAGTGATGGTTTGGGCACTGACGTCACTCAGAACAAGCTGGCTCAGTGCTTTCCTCAGCGCCTCAGAGGAAAGGAAAGGAAACAATGTGCCTAAACGAAGGACGTCCTTTTTTCAGTGGCTGAACTGAGCACTGCCACCAACCACCTTCATGCTGACCACAGAACCTACACCCATAAAGTGGAAAGGACAGCTGACCCCAGCGCAGTTCTCCTGCTGCACCTCAAGGTGATCTGCAAATCCAGTTTACCCAAACAGTGACAGCCCGAACCCTCAACAGCATTTCAGTGCCCAGTTTTCACTGGCATCCCACTGCAATGCAAGGAGAATCCTGCGCTCCCATAAAACACATACTCTGCATCTTCCAGTGCGCTTCTGGGTATGGTGATGAGGATCTGGAAATAAAACATGACATGTTAGCTGTGATCCTTCTGACCTGAATTCTGGCCTCCTGAATGCAGAAGCAGTTCAGATGGAGTTTCAGGTACTTTCAAGGACTGCTCGCTCTCAGTTGCTCTGGCTCACCTTGGGTATTTCCAGAAGATATTCCAGAAGCAATTTTCTGGTAGATGTGGATTTTACCCTAGATTTTTGCAGGACAAATGATCTAAGGAACTGTACAGTGCAAAAAGTAAATGCCAAAAAACCAGAAAAAAATAGCTACCATTACAAGTACCTAATTGATGGGAAAAACAACTATATACATGTTCTCAATATGTAAAATACAATTTATTGTATTTAGGCCATTCATAAGTATCATTACAATATAGTAGGTTTGAAACAAACATCTTACCAATAAATACTATCTAAACATTAATATTAATCTTTTGATCAAATGTGTACAGTGTATTGACTCGATATTGCACAGTGAGCTCTATTTGACATTTCCATAGTGCATTCAGTTTGTTACAGGGATAGTTTGCCACAAATATTGCAAAGCATCAGAGTTGACTTTTCCAAGTGAAAACAGCTGAACTATCTCATTAGGGACTGAAGGCTGATACAAATGCCAGTACCCTAGGTTAATTGGTTATGGATTCATGGAACCTAATGTTTTCATGAATGAGGAGACTTTGTTGCTAATACAATTTTTATGGAATTATAAAAAAATCCCACTTTCAAATGGAACGAGGATATTATAATCAAACTTACATGAATAGCCAACTGCAGTGATCAGTGAGCTTGCTTCCTCTTGTTCCAATCTAAATATAAATCATACCTTTGATCTTTTCAGAGATGTACCTCACCGCTTGCATTTCAAAGGCCAGACCGTGCAAGCCCCCAGCATTACTCCAGCACTTTGCTCCCTACGTGCCTCTGCTCAGGGTAGACTCAGCACCCGTCAGTATGAGCAGAGGTGACACACTCTGGTCTCAATGGTTTTCAATGTATAAATGCAGGTATAATTTCCCAATAGTTCTACAATTCTCAGCTTTATCTGGTTAAATCTTAATTCTAGAGCGTCAGCTCCACATGGGGGTACTCCTGCCAGTGTGTATTGCATTACCGCACTCACGCAGAGGGCCGGGTGCTGCCAGCAATGCGGCCGGCTGTACTGCTTCCCTGAAACCCAGCGGCTCCCGGATCAGATGGGCTTGCGGGCTCTGGTGAACACAGTAGCAAATGCTGGCAGGACTGTGGCTCAGAGCCGGTTTTCAACCACTCTCTGTTGATCGTTCTCAAGTCCAGCTATGACAAAACTATGTCCATGCTAGTGGGAGATAACTTGGAGTAAGGACTGTATAATTTGGCTTGTCAGGTTTGACTTGCATTGGCATGAACTTACGCTGCTCTGACATTGCAGAAGGACCTTAAAATGCGCACATACTGCCTTAACACACGTTTAAGCTACACTGCTCTGCCAAAGTGGTATGAACTGCTCAAAATGCAAGTAAGAACCATGACCATAGAATGACTGTGACTGCCTTGGAAAAGATTTGACCATCAGTATAACAGTGCTTAGTGCTTAGCGTGTAGTATCCCTTAGTGCTTAGCATGTAGTGTTCCTTTAAGTAAAAGAAAATTCACTCACCAAGTGATACAATTAAAAATTTCTAAGAAACTACTGGTTAAGTATTACCTCATGATTATGTAAAATCATGTTTATATCCCTCATCTTTGCAGCTTATCATTTTGTATATATTTAGATTCTTTGTATTCAGGTAACAGATGAAATACTTCTATCTAAAAAGACGGTAGGAAAAAACACGGATTGAAAGGATTCCTTTTTTTGTACAAAAAATACATTTTTATGACAACAACCAGTACCTTCACAGTAGGTCCTTTACTCCTCTATTTACTACTAAGGTTCAGTCATCCATAATGCCATCATAAAGTATCAGAATTGTTTTTCTTTCCACTTTTCAACACTAAAATTCAATGCACTACTATGGAATGTTTCCAAAGTCTTAGGCTACATCCTGATAAAATCAGGAACCCCCCCCCCCCCCCTACTTTAAAAAGGAATTAAATTCATGCAAAGAAATACATAATGTGCACCGAAATACTCGATTCTATGATACAGGTGACTTAAGAGAAAAGTCCCTTTACAATTATCTAAACTAGTTCTAATAAAAGAAGATAGTTTCAAAACAGAATTAAAAACATCTCATTTAACTACAAGTTGATGTTTGCTATGTGTTCAAGCAGATTACATTTTCTACCTAGTTGCGTTAATCTGTGTCACTCCTTTGTAGCGTAGCAAATACTTGATTTTGCGGGGTGACATTTTTCTATGCAGTTTTTGTAGTCCAGGGTATCAGTCTTCATTTGATTCTGCATACAGGATATCAGGTTAAGCCCAGATCTGCAGAGAAAGTTGAACAATTGTTTATGACATTGACTATTCTATCAAACATTTAATTAAAATTTGGAAAGGCAGTCAGATTAGTGGTCCAGTGTATCACCAGCAATGACATTACTTAACCCATAAATTCAAAATTCCCTTAACTTTAACTGTTCAGCTAGCACTTTGTGGGGATTTTTTTTTAATTTGAATTTTCTGTTCATGTTTTACACTGTGGTTTTAGATCCTCGTTACTCCCTGTAGAATCAATTTTCCTGTAACAACCCGTCCCCCTTGCCCCCTTTGTTAACAATCAAATGAAGAAAGAAGCACTCAAGGCAGGTACTCCCAGCACTTACTCGGAGAGTGTGGTCCCAGGAGCCCGAGCAGAATGCCGTCCCATCAGGAGAGACCCGCAAGGTGCTGACGCGATTTTCATGTCCAAACAGAATGGATACACGGGACCCTTTCAGCACATCCCAGACATTTATGGTGTAATCATTATAGCCTGCAAACAGTAGGCGACCTTCAAAGAGAATGAGATTTTACAAAGTGAGGTCTTAAGTAGGTAACGTGTCTTGACTTGTTACAGGGCCTTCTGCAGGACATTCATCTCCCAGTGAGCCACGACTCAGCTTTCCGGTGCCAGCCTCTGCACACAGCGAGCCCTGACCACTGCTCCCCCCAGGCTAGCTGTGCTCCTGTTACACACCCCGCTCCAGCGCTGAGCTATCCATACTAATGCTGCACCCATTAAAATTTATTAATTAAAAATATAGTTAAAATGGAGTTAAATTCTATAGAATCTGTTCAGTCGTTAGAGATGGGGGGCTGACAGACTGAAGAGCACTTCAACAGCTAATGCAGGGTAACAATATTTTGCTCAGACTTTACACAAGAAGTTGAACACAAATGGTTGAATGATTAGTAGACAATTTAGTAAGTGATTCATTGTCCCCAACGGAACAAGCTGTGGTGCTGTGACCACGACAGAGCCATTTGCCTCTGTCCCGAGTGGCGGGCAGTTCACCACCCACTCATCCCCGCGCAGAGTGACTAGAGGAGCTCTGCATTTGTGCTGGGGCAAGAGAAAGAAGACTCAAGCTCGTGCCTCCAGACTTGTAGTGAAAAATAGTAATGTGTCTGTCTTCATGCTCCTCTAACATACTTCTACTACCTATTAATCATTCATTATCCTTTTATAAACTATTTATGTAAGTGCGCTTAATAGTCTAGTTACATTTCATGTTTCCTTTGAAATGTTTTTAATCATTATTGTGAAATTCTACCCCAGCTGTAGTTAATGGCAAAATATTTCCTGCCTTCAGTAGGGCCAGGAAAATACTTTTCATTGCTACAATGAAGCAATAGCCAGCTAGATTATTTAAACAGTAATTACTTTTACAGAGGCAAAAAAAGGCTTCCATGCATTAAATGTTTCTTTTGGTACTTAGTATTACTTTATAACTTTTAATAACAAATGCTTTATCAAATTAAATTGGCAAAATTTTACAGTCCCTCTCAAACCCCAACACTAAGATAACCTCCAAAATTCAGGTCTCACCACTGAGAGAGAAGTCCACACTGGATGCTCCAAAAATGATGCTCTCTTTGGAATAAATTGCTACTTCTCTGTCAGCACGAAGGTCATATAAACGACACTAGGATTAAAACAAAACAAACACACATGCCTCACTAAAGGCTGGAGTCAATGGCTATTACATTTCATTGAAAAAAATGGGAGTGGGAAGGACTGCAGCCTAACAGCCACCAAGGGAAAGCGGCTGCTTGGCTTCTTTCCTTCCGCTGTTTCTGCCCAATGTAACTGGGACTCCACCAGCCACCAGAGTCTAACAGGGATCTAAGCAACGCAAGGCTGTTTTGTATAGAATGAAGAACTTACTTTTCCAAACCACTTCTCTAAGCCTCCTACCTGTCCTGCTATAAAGACAGGAGTGGTGGGTTTTGGACCATGGCTACCCACTGAAAGTCTCCCCACCCTCTTGCTTCCCCGCTGTGGTTTCCTACACATTAGGGCATCCTGCTTCTGGGGAGGCAGTCTCTAAAGACAACAGTTCAGCCACAGCTGGAGTCTGGAAGACAGAGGATTAAATCTCTAGTCATCTTGGAGAACATGGACCACATGGCACAGTGCTCAGAGAGTCCCCTGGTACACGGAAGCCTAGATGGTAGTCTTTGCTTTACGTAAGACAGGAGAGCAAACAGTCCCTGCTCTTCTGTGAGGCGCCTCTGTCTGAAAAACCTACATGAAAATAATTCCAATGAAATAATACATATTTATACAGATCTTTGGTTTTCATTTCTCATGGAAAATCTCCAATCACCTCTACAACCCGCACTTCCTGTTTTTATCATTTGCCAGCATACTTAGGCTTGTTTAACATGGAAATAACGTATAGACAGACCAGATTTCATTGCCATGCAGAAAGGCATGCTGTTAGCCCTGAAATCAAAATGCACTTCTGAAACTACTTGAACTGAAAACCTTCCTCAATAGGTTATGTTTATGCAAACACTGGCCAGATAGGTTTGCTAATATTAAGACTTTACTAATGAAAAATGGCTGATATTCAAGCCTGCACATAAAGGAGAGGCTGTTTCATTCACAGGGCAGTGAGGAGCTGCCAGGTATGCGAAATCCAGGTCTCCCAGTGCTCCACGCTGGTGAATAATTCCATTAGACTGTCCTGATAGGAGTTGGGGTCACTGCAGGTGACAGCACTGCCATGTGAGCATGCTTTTACGGTTTCCCTCCAGACAGTCAGGATTATCTGTTCTTCGAAATCCCTAAGTATATAAATCAGGTCAAGGATACCAGTCAGTGTATCAGTAATACTGAAAATAGCAACCTCTTCATTTAAAGAATGAAGTAGATGGAAACTGCCAAAACCTGTCAAAAGTACAGAGCTGGAATTTCCCATTCTCCTGCTAAAGTCAGGGGTGTCAGGAACAGTTAAGAGAGAAAACCCCCATCAGATAAATTAATAAGCACAGGAGCCCAGTGTCTGTGGTACTGGGCTTAAAAAGAGAGTGCTCACATTAGAATTTAATGATGGACAATTTCTCCATCTCACTCCCTCAGCATCTCAAGTGCTCACAGTACTGCATCCAAACGTGTGGAGAGGCTCACCACAGAGCTAGAGGTATTAATTTATAATCCCAGCTTTTAGGACCTAAAAGCAGTGTACAGTGTCTCCAGAAGAGCCTTGGAAGGTCTCCACATTCAGTGAAGACAAAGGGAATGTTTCTATTGAGTTTAGCTAGAATCGGAGCAGACTCAAAACATACTCTGAGGGCGGAGTACTTTAGGAAGAGTCTTCACCCTCAAGCAACTCAGCGTGATGTTTGAATAGACAGGAGAAACAAGGTGCCAGGTGCCTCCTAGACGTCTGCTCTTACACTTAACCACCAGCTCAGTCCCTGGAGGGTTGTGATACAGGCAGAGCACCAGCTGCAGCAAAAGCCACCAGCCCTGTGCATCACTCAGGGGCCTGAAGGCACCAGGAGGTCAGTGGCACTTCGCATACAATGTGCTGACCAACATTGCCTGTCAGTAACATACTGTGCCCCTCCTAGCAGCTCGCTCATAGATAAATAAGATCTACTAAGAGCTATCGTATCATCTAGGATGTCCTGGATGCGGTGACTCATCCCAGTGAAGAGCATCGGCAGTGAGTCAGGCTGACGGGGGGAGACTTATGTGGCCAAGACCACCCTGGGGCTGCGCCTTGGGATGCACAGGGCTGCGGAGGCCAGCTGAACGGGGCTGCCCAGCTCCACGCTGAGCCCGTGGACCCTCTGCTTGCCAGGATGTGCCCACCCATGCAGGGTCCCTTCATGCCCTTGTGCTATGCTGCTCCTTCCAACACAGGCTGCAGCATTTCATCTGGTTCCTCCCAAGTTGTGATCAACAACTATGCAAAGCCAAATCTCTTCCAGCAAAACAACTAATTTTGATCATGAAACTTCAAAACATAGAAAATCTGAAATGAGTATTTGGACAGTACCTCATGTAGAAAAGTTTGCAGACGTGACCTATGAAGTGTTACTAGATTTTCCCTATAGCATTATATATAGTATTTAATATATATTATAGCGTTATTATTGCTGCAACTTTGGTGTGACAGGCCTAGTTTAGTCACTTAAAATCCTCTGTGGATGTGGCCCAGTCTTTTAGGAAAATCTGACTTGGGAAGTAACAGAACTTCCCTAAATTAGGTTGCTGAAGTAACATACCGTAGCATCGTCTGAACCAGAGGCAAAAGCATCTCCACTTGGGTAATATCTGTGCATGAGTAAAAAAAGACCAGAACACATTATGTTACTTGGATGAGGTCAGACTTCAAAAATAGAACCAGTGCATTGCTCAACATCACAAATGTGCCCTCTCCCAGAAACACACTGACCTGACACTGTTGATATCTGAATCGTGGGTTTCAAATGACTGGATGCACTGACCAGACCGCATATCCCAAACCATGGCTTTCTTGTCACATCCCTAATAAGACAAAAAAATTCACTACAGTTGTACGAATGCTGACATTCACCCCTCGTGCCTGATACATGTCATCAAGCCCAGCTACATTCAAAGGCTCTGAACGTGACAGCTCTGAGGGGATTTAACCAGCAAAGCAGCCCCAGCCCCAGCCCTCCTGGTACCCCCATGCCTGGTGCAGCTGCAGTGAGGAGCAGAGTACAGGACGGAGGCTGGAGCCTCAGCAGTGCCGCAGACCAGCGGGGCCACGACGCTGCCCTGCAGCGCAGCGGGGTGCAGACAGGCCGGGGGTGTTTGTGCAGGCAGTCCCACACTGACCCGCACTCACAGCCCTGCTCTGCTTGTGCTGCTGCTGTACCTGTGGCTGCAGTCCCACCATGCCACAGAGCTGCATAACTGACTCAATCCCTTACTACTTAACATGCCCAATATAAAAAATTAATACCCGGCATTTAAAGTTTTATGACTAATTCTTTTCATACACTGAAACAGGAAATAAGTGCGTCTGGAGTCTTCTTCAGTCTCTTACCAGAGTTAACCCCTGCCATGGCTCTGCACCCACGTGCTCAATGGCGTGGCTGGGATGAGAAAAGCAGCACAACAGCATTTCATCTCATTGTCAAGCTCTAACCTGCCCTTCCAAGCTGTGCTTTGAAAAGATCGTTTAACACTCAGTGCTTGCTGCGAGGTGCTCAGCACCCTGAATGCTTCAGGCAAGGGGCTCAGCCCACCTAGAGTCTGTAACATCCTCAGGGCAGGAACCATCTCATACCATAGGGCCATGCTCTCAGCTGCAATGTGTCACTGCTGTCACAATCGCAGTGACAGGAAAAAGAACATGGTCTTTTCTTTTAAGAGTGATGGGATATTGTAATAAATATGACCCTGCTGAGGGTGCAGGCCCTAGGTACGCTCAGCTCTGCGGGGCTCAGCCTCTCTGAGGCTGCATGGGAAGCACAGGGCAGGCCAGGCGGCTGCTGCTTCTGCCGAGCTAGCGTGTCCTACCCAGCAGACCGTGCCACACGTTATTTATTATTAAGTAAATGATTGCTAATTAAATTAAATAGTCTCTTCACAATTCACATTTTTCTCCCTTTTTTAATTCTGCTGCTAAAATGAAATCCCAGGGTTTTTTACTTACGATGTCACTATTTAAAAGAGGTAGTGTTTCTTTGTACCAATTTGATTTCTGTGCAGAGGAAACCAAACAGGACAGAGAACATTTTGGACTCAGCACATTTCACTCTCAAGCACTGCCACAGCCCAAGCCCAGCCCTTCGTATTGCTTCAAGTGCACTGTTCTTACTGGCCTCTCTGGGAGTTTGGGGGCAAGACCAATCTGACAAGCTGGTGCTTTGACTCTAAGGTTTTGAAGGAGAAACCAGCAACCACCTGCAAAGTCATGGGCCCCCTGAGTACTATCCAAGTCGCTCTGAGGAGCGGCACTCTGAGGGCACTGAGCACAACAGCCTGGGACACAGCCCTAAGCTTACCCAGGAGGGGTGGGATTCTCGGTTAAGTCGATAAATGTAACGACACTCAGTCCACACACTGATGTATTGGCATTGCTTATTCCAGCTCAAGGTTACTGTATTCCATAGGCATAATATGCAGGGAGTCTCTCTATGCTACCACACCTTCAGGTTGCACTGTTTTGGCTATACCTGCATTGACATGACGTAAGGCAGATCTTCACTGAAGTGGTATTTCGCATGTGATGAATTAAGCGAGTCCCTGTAAGCACAGACATGCCCAAGCTGCTACATTGACATAAGTATGACATATTCTCTTAGCAGTACCATAGCTGCTTGTGATTCTTTGCCCTATAATAAGCTGAGCTGTTCCCAGGGAGAATGAATCTGCCCTTTCTGGGAAGCAAGCTCAATGGCAGGAAAGCCCGGGAGGAGTAATGCACTCGGATGGAATTAGCTTTCAGTCACGCTTCAGAGCAGCTGTGCTAGCAGGAAGCAAACTGGGCCAGTGAGCTGGGCTCTGCTCCTGATGGGACAGCCAAATTTGATACAAGAGCCATAACAGAAAAGGTCCAGTTTATTGTGTAAGGATGCGACCATGACTCTGAGCACAAGTGGAAACCCCTAATCCATGGTCAGCACCCTCTGGCACAAGGGCCATTTCCATCAGCAAGCACAGGACCAGCCCTGGGCCAGCGCTAGCGGGGCTTGAAAACCAGGTACCTTCAGCAAAGTTACTGGTAGCAACCTGCCTCCAGTAAGAGAGGTCAGCCCTCAGCTCCTGCCAGCTTTCACTTGCACACTCGATTTCTGATGTGGAAAAGACCAGGACTACCTCGAAAAGGAGCTGAGCCCCATCTCACTCACCTTTATGCCTTGCCTGCCTCACTGCCAGGCTGCACGCCAATGGTTCGGCTGCCTGGAAACAGCGATGCCTCAGCAGCAGGACAAGATTTGGAAATGCCTTGGGTACTTTCCCAGACCTGTCCTGCATCCTCAGAGAGGTTTGTGTGTTCCTCTGGGCCAGGACAGGGAGTGGGCAGTGTTTGACTGATGAAGGGGCTTTAAATGCTTCCGGTACTGCTGGAAGGCACAGGGGACTCAGCAACAGCTGAAGATGTGGCCACACCTCATTTCCCTGCATCCACTTGTAGAAGGGTTTAGCCAGGATCCAAGCTACCCCTTGGCTTCTGGGGAGCAGTTAGGGGACATAGTGGCACACACATTATTTGCAGCCCCACTGTGATGCCCTGAGCAACCACGTGGCTCACCCTGTCCGGTTCCAGAGAGCTGGTCATGAGAAAGGAGCCAAACATGGGAGGTCGTCTGCTGTGCCAGGCTCCTATCCACAGGGGCTCACACCTCCACTGTGGTAGGAGCCCGCTGCTCTAACTCTGAGCCTGTCCCTTCCCCGGAGAGGCGTTGTTTTGATCTCGGGCTGGATTGCTTTGGTGTGGGGTGGAATTTGCTAAGTAAGCAGAACTGCAGTCAGACTGGCTGGGTGGGTTTGACCCCACAGTCAGGGGTTTAATTTGCTCCAGCTTGGAAAATGTGCTTGCAATGAGAGGATTGCACTGGGGCTTCCAACACATACTCCAGCATAAGATCACGAGCCTCCTGCTTTGCTGCCTTTTCCCTTCCACATTCCTTAATTTTATATTATGACAGGAAGCTCCTGCTTACCCCAGAGACAAATGTATTTCCCGTTTCAGAAGGGGCTAGGTCCAGGCACAGGACATCAGCTCCATGACCATGGAAACTCTGCAGAAGCTGCCCGCTCTCGACATCCCAGAGAGCACAAGTTCCATCTCCACTTGCTGTCAGGATCTATAGGATGTGGCAAGAAGAGTCACAATACAAAAATCAGCAGATGATCTTCAAGTTCACAAAGACACAACTGACATCCTATACATACACCAAGGACAGCTTTAATTGAATGAGATACTATGCGATCAAAGCCACACAAACAATGTGAATCTACGCACAGTTTATGTTTTTTATTTTTAAGGAAAGAAGTTAAGAGTGGAAAGGAGGGCTGTATTGACACAGCTATACCTACACAGTGTTTCAATAATGGTCAGTTTTATGCAGTGGGGTTTGGAGAACTGATGGCAGTAAGGATCTGCTGGCATTTCAATATCCTCCAAAAAGGAGGTAGAACCACACCGTTATTCCTGTCTGCCCCTGTATTTAACCCTATCCATATTTAGGCTGCTGGAATTCAACCTGGGTAAAGAGAACTGTTGGAGTTAAGTATACCTGTTTAATGCTCTAATTTTTTTTTCCTGCTTGAAATAGCCAGGTTAAACCCAATTAGTCGGGCTTAAGACATGGATTTTCTGAAAGGGAAGTAAGCCTGTCTAGACAGTTGTTTGAGAAGTCCATCACCTCTCACTTGTCCAAAACCATTTGTGTGTGAAACGGCTTGAACATACACTGACCGAACATAGCTCACAGCTTCCCTCATCTGCTACAGTGCTTGCAGAAAGCACATGTGATCAGCGCTTGTTATTGTGGCTAAATCCTGACGATGCTCAATTGTTCAAAATTTCCCCTTGGCACCAGAAGCTGTTATGCAATCACAAATTCTGTAGGTTGAAAAGGTCCCTCTGCACAAGCATGGAAGGAGGCAAGGGTGAACTTAGGAGGGCTCTCAGTCTTGTACACGGGTTTTTCTCATGGTTAGTGAGGAAACTCAAGGGATCCCAGTGGGTACTTAGAAGTTAAAAACAAAATACTCTTCAAGAAGAAAATGGTCACATGATCATGAAACCATTCACAGAGTTGCATAAAGGTTAAACACTGAACATGTTTGACAGATGCTCCAAAAACTCCTCCCATAAATAGAGGTCTGCAAAGCTGCAGAACAGACTGTTCTGAATCCTGCAGTAGAGAGACGCAGGATGATAATAGCAGAAGAGAGTCCTGACTTGTTTTCTGGCCAGCTTTTGAGCCTAGATCAATGAACTTCTCTGTTCTGAGGAATATTTGTACTTGGCTGAGGAACGAAGACTTTCAGCTCTGAAGATTTGCTTTTGTAATAGCACATAAGAAAGATGCGAGGGGAATAGGAGTAGCTACAGGTGTAAGAAAAAGGTCTGTTGGCAACCCAGAGCTCCAGCTAATGCTTAAAGAGAAACGTTACGGACCCGGTTTCAGGGTATTGCTATTGAAAAACAAACCATACTCCAAAAATCCAAAACCAGAAAGGAATTAACAATCTTTGCTATTAGAGTCCAGCTTGCTGCATGAGGGGCTCTGGCAGCACTGGATGGGGATCCTCGCCTGGCGCCTGGCGGCAAGAGGCAGCACTTGCACAGGGCAGGGGACAGCGGGGACACAGTCCCTGCTTGCCAGGAGCACACGCACCGGGGCTGGGCAGAGGGGCCACCCTCACCTCTGCCTCCTCTGACATCGCCATGGGCCTCATCCTGCTTCTCAGCCCTGCCGCACTGGGAGTATGGCTGCCTGCAAAACACTTGAGATCCCAATTAACTGTTGCTATTAATACATGCAGAGCATTGTCACGTGGGGAGCATTATCGCACCGCAGAGCTGCAGATACCTAATTTTGGAAGCAAGGCTCCCCAGCTCTCTGCATACTGAGGCAGGGGAGGCTCTCTCTAGCAAGGCTGATTTGGGGCACCAAGAACGAGGTGCACAGGTCGCCCAGCTCTGCAGCTCAGTGCTTGTCTTGGCCCAGGGTGGGAACATGATGAGGAACAAGGACGGGACCCCCTCGTTCAGCACCCACACAGCCTGAGAGTGGCTTTCATCAGTGAACCACCCCCAGCTCTCCTGTCTCTCCATTGCACTGCCAGATGCCTGTGGGCACACCAAGCGGTGCTGGGTGCTGCAGGACACTGGGCTGGGGGACACCTTCACCACACACTAGGGCTGCTCCAGGACAGGTACCACATCCCTCAGTGACATGAGCTGGGAGAGCAGAGCTGCTCCGCACACAGCTGGGAAAGCTCCTGCACAGTGTGCTTGTTGCACTGCGCGTTCTCAGAGTTACTGAATAACTTTCATTCTGAGGGCGTTATGTAAAAGAAAAAGATAAGAAATCTGGGATTCTCTAGGATCCCCTACATAACAGTGTCCTAACAGAAGCTTGGCCAACCCACTTGCTTGTATTTGTTTCAATAATAACATGCAGTGCTATAAATGATCACTTATATGCCTATCACTCAGAAGAAAATTTCAATTTCTTTTTAAAGTCTTCATTAAAATCTCCGAATCACTGAAAATAAAGCACCTAAATCCACTGTGGTATTATTTAACAATAGTAATACATTACCTTCAATATCAATGCAGTTTGCTGTATTTCATATGGAGAAAAAAACCTCAACTTTTTTTTATTATGAAAAAATAAATAACTGTTTTTCCTTTCATAGGATTTAATCATGATGCGTATAGGCATGGACAAGAAAAGAGAATACTGGTTTTCTATCTCAAAAAACATTCCACTTAATTTAGACTGCTCTAATTATGCAGGGCTCCTGCACAGCAAGGTCAGGGCTAAGCAAGCGTGAGCGTTGGGTACCTTCACTGCTTGTTTCCATGGCAATGGACTTAAATTAGCACCTTGGAGTCATTACAGAAACCATAGAATGACAAACAACAACATACTCTTGGGCATCTCATATCCTGAAATAGAAGCAATGAAAGCTGATATTTCCTTCAGAAGAGTTCCAAATATCTGGAAGAAGGGCACAAGGTATTCCCTTTCCAGCAGCTCCGCTGACACAGAGTGCGATGAAAACGCTCCCTTCTGCCACTTACTTTGCTGCAGAGCTGCACTGAGCAGAGCTTCAATTAAATTAAAAAAACAGAGAGGACAAGGGGATTATCCTGGCTCCTTTCATCATCTTTTGTGTTCCTGGAGAAAGAGATCTTTGAGATGTTCACTACAGAGGAAGGCTGGCCTGATCTCAGAAGATCTGCATTTAGTTCCTGGCTTTGTCATCGTTTCCCACTGCGGCCCTCTGTGCTCCAGCCCCCAGCTGCGAGATAGGGAAAGCATCGCTCCTTTCCCTCGGGGGAACACACCACTGCACACACGGACAACATGGCTGGCCCTGTGGGGCCATCCTCAAGCTCAAATATCTCACTTAGTACAAACAAAAAATACTAAGAATGAAAGCAGTTGGCTGGACATCCAGGACAAAGCAGGCAAACAACACAGTCTCCACAGGATGGCATAGCACATACCCAACCTAGTCCTATCTCAGCTGGGTTTTTAACTATTTGTATTAGTTTGAGCTCCTAAAAGCACAAGCCAGCACAGACCCAGTGAGCAGAGAACACGCAGGTACCAGCGAGCTCCCTCTGCAGAAGGGACAGGCCTTTGCAGGGTGCAGGCAGGACAGCCTGGCCACGGGTCATGACAGGCATTTCCTTACGGCAGCTTTGGCAGCACCTTCCTTGCCCCCAGCGAGGGTTTTCCAGCAGCCCCCACATGGGGCAGGACATGGCCCTGGGGGCCCCACGTGCAAGGTAGCTTGTTTGCACCGTGTATGAGTGCGGCTCACGTTAGGTGTTGCTGGACGGTGAGCAGCGGATAGGGAATGCATTTACCTGCATGTCTGAGTTAGTGAAGCTGCAGGCAGACAAGTAGTTTGTGTGCATTGCAACCGATTTCTTCTTTGCAGCCATGTTTTCATTTTTGTCAAATGTCAGAGGGTACACAGAACACTTGTTGTCCAGGCCACTAAAGAGAGTAATAATAGCAATAACAGAGAGGGGAGAACTGGTTAAAACTGCAACGACAAAAGGCGAGTGGTGATAAGAAGGAAACCACCTGTCAGGGCTGCGCTGCCAAACCCTTACAAGTACCGACTTCCCTGTATTGTGCTGTCCGGGGTCTCCCTGCGCAGGGAAGCCCCAGCTGCCTCCCCAGGCTGGCTGCTTTACAGAACAGGAACAGCTGCACCTCAGTATTTTTTACTCCCATCGAGTTTATAAATGGCACTGAATGAAACCTCACAAAAGTATAAACTGGGAGGTGACATAGCAGTCACCTCAGGGTTAATGTTTCACATACAGCCAAACTGCCGCTTTTCTGTTGACATCTGTCATTGTGTGGATCAGTATTTAAGCATCATTATTTCTTTACCTCAGTTAATTTGACCTAACTCCTATGGAAAAGATGGTATAGCTAGTAGGTGTAAAGAGAGGGCTTTTAGAAGAGTTTGGGAAAAAGGCAACAGAAGCATTGACCTCTGTAGCTGGTGCGTCCCTCCTGGACAGTTGCTAAGCTGTGTCTGCCAGGCCAGACACGGGACTCTTCTCTGAAGGGTCTGACTTGTGTCTGACCCTTTTCTAGAGCCATGGTGCATCAGCCCTGCCCCGGTCCTGGTCCCTGGGATCCCAGCACACCACCAGGTGCTGCTTCTGTGCCTTTTATTACATGCACAGCACTTAACTGATGGCACCACAGAAATACAGAATTAGGTAGCGCAATGGGTATATGCCCCCCCATCTCTTACAAGTGTGAAGACAGAGCTTTCTTGCCATTCTTCAAGTTTGAGTCAAAAACATACAGTTTCCGGACTCCCTCTCCACACACATTTATGGAGTCTGCCTGTCTGCCTCAGTCTGCTGCTTTCCAGATTTGCAAGCTGCACAGTAAAGTCTCCCTTTGTTCCTTTCCCTCGCCCCAAGCTCGCTTTGTCTGTCTGATCCACCCAGTCCCTTTTTAAAAGATGTTTTGCCAACACCTCATCTCTTTGTTTTCTCCTCTGCATAAACTCATTTTTTTCAAACCTGAGCCCTCAGAAAACTTGGAGAAGATTATCAAGGATGGGGTTACTTCTTCCCACCCCATCTTGGCAAGATCTATGCATGTGCTGGTAATCGTTAGTGACTAACTTTCTCTATGTTGTAGAAGAAAGAGCACAAACTAAGAACAGGGTTAAAACCACTCTCCCTTAGAAGATATATCCAACACACACAACCAAACTGGAACAGGGAAGTTGCATGCATGCAGAATTCCTAACCCATGATATAAACGCTGAAAGAGGATTGTTTTCCATGCTTGCACAACAAATGTTATTGCACTGAAGTCAGTGGAGATAATGTGTACGAGCCATTATGGGATCAGAATCAGAGGCACTGAAAGTAGTCCTTCCACCCACAGTCAAGGCACGCCAACTTCTAGCTGTCAGCATCTGAAGGCACCGGGACACCGCTACAAATCAAGCTTCCCTGTGTAAGCAGCTGTGGAAACTGGGAACTTACCCACAAGCAATGGCACATCCTGACGGGGCATATGCACACGCCATCACCCAGGTACACGGCATCGTCACTGCATGCTCCTGAAACACAGCACCTCTTTAAACTGGGATGTCACTGTTTCTCTAATCGGTGCAAGGAAAACAGTGTCAAGTTCAGTACTTCTGTGGGACATCCTTAGGGTCAGTGAAAGGTACAAGTGTTTCCCCCAGCCATTACTCACATGTAAGGCTGGGACAACCCTTAATGTAGAACCTAGCAGAGCAGCAGGAGGATAGCTAGTCCCTCCCTGACACTTTCCACCTTATTCACGAGCCTCAAACTGATCACAGAGCATGTTTTATTTGGGTTACTCAGTGCTGTAGAAGGTCCCCACTGCTGCATGTGGAAAAGTGAGTTACAAACTAGCTGTTTTTTCTCAGCTGTGTGGAGCAGGGTGCTACAAAGGCAGCCCTGGCAGGGCTTGGAGGAGCAGCGGCACCATTTCATAGCGAACACCATGACTAAAGGATCCCAGGTGATCACACATGGCACCTGGTACAGGGATTACCCAGGGAGGGCCACTGTTTTGCTGGCTGGGCTTTGCCCCCAGCTGGGAGCCCTCTCTGTCAGTGAAAAGGCTGGATCAGAGCCTCCCACCGGACAGGGACTCTGCTCAGAGACGGGTCAAGGGAGGTGGTCTGCCCTCAGCCTCTTGGTTTGAGGTGCTGGTGGGGGTTTGCATGTTAACCCACCATCCCACTGCCTCCTGTGACACCTGTGAGCCCTTCAGCCCTCCATCTTATCCCACCATCATTTGTCCTGTGCACAGAAATCTGACTTTTGCTGAAGTTTTTACTTACCTTGTTGGTAGTGAAGGAATCCCACACGATCACCTTTCCATCCTAAATGAAAGTACACAGAGAGAGAAATTAAGGCCTTCCAGAGACATGGCTATCAGCCTGCTTCCCAGATTTGGGGGAAACTCTGCTGCTGATTTCCATCCCCCAGTCTGTTATGTCATGAAATTTTTGTCTCCATTTTAACAGCAGCACAATGGTCACAGTGAAGCGCCAAGGAGACACTTCTCAGTACTGTGAGTTATGTCTTTGACCAGAAGAAAAGTAAATTTCCTCCTCTCTAAGATGACTGATGTCAGCTCAAAAGACTGATTTATTTTTTTATTTTTTCCCCTTCCCTTTTAGCAGGTTTATGAAAACTCTCACTTGCAGCACATGCCATGGACAGGACCATCTCCTCAGGAAACTGCCACTAGCAAGCCCTCACTTGCCTCCTTCCAGCCATGACATGTTCCTCCTAGCCTGTGATCACCACCTGCAAGGCCAGCCACTTCTCCCAAGTGACACCTGTCAGTGGCTCAGTACAGGGACTTGCAAATACAAGAGGTGGCCTGCATTACAAATCACTTGCCAAGCTGGCAGCGCTCATGAGGACTATTTATGGACATTGCACTGGTTAGTCATCTTCCCTTTCCTGCCTTTTCCTGGTTTTCCCTTTCCTTCTCACTACACTTAATCTTCAATTACCCATTCATACAATCTGCTAAATAGCCATCGTAAGAACGCTCCACAGAGAGCAACACAATCACTTTGTGTATGCCAGCTGCACTCACACCAGCTATTTTGCCTTATGCACATAATATTATTATTCTCCCTGTATCATGAAAGCAAAATGTATATTACCAAGCAACAATTGTTGCTGTACCTGGACTCACTACAGTTCTTAAAATAAGAGTAAAAATTGCAAAAATGCATTACAACTTGCCTGTTCAGCTTTCTGATCTACCCACTGATATTTACACCGCTTTAAAAAATGTGACATTAATTATTTAAAATTATTCTCTTTGCTGAGATCACCATGAATGGTAAAAACTCACTGTAACTGAAGGTGGCTTGCTATGCAGATTGCCTATTTTTATCCCTCAAGTGAGACCCCTGACAGATTTCATATAGGTCAATGAACAGCTGTGAGATGCAAAAAGCTCACTCACTACCATACTGGGCTCAGGATGAACCAGGGGATCTAGAAAGTAATTATCTCATTACCTCCTCCAGCTCATGAGACTGGTCTGGAGCAGGTGTTAGGACTGTTTCACAAAATGCCCAAGTAAATACAGTAATTTTGGCAGGATGTTTGAGGCTTTCGCACCAATCATACAGACTGCAGAAGAAATTTCTGTGCACAGAAACCTCTAGAAGAATCAACGTTTCCTCCCTTTTCCTGATTTTTCTCTGAACACATAAACTGAAATAGTTACTAAATATTTTATCTGTAAAGAACAAGGAAATAAAAGTGGCCTCAGATGAGTCCTCTCTATTTTCTGTTGTAGTAGGGAATATGCAGAAAATCTGTATATGACCGGACAAGAAATATTTAGGGTATTAGCTACAACAGGTGTAGCGATGATCAGAAGCTTGGATTTGTGTGCTCTGAACAAATTCATTGCCAATGAACCGCTTTAAGGGCATCTTGAAAACATTTACAACATACACAGGTGTCATCTGCAAAGAGCGGCACATAGCACAGCCAGAAGATTTGTATAGTGCCCAACAGTAGCTTTGAAAAACATCTGCCCAACAGCATACCTGGGAAGAGCTCACAATTCTTCTCTTGTCTTTACACCAGTCCATACAGAGAACTTTATTTCCGTGGCCTTTCAGGGTCCTCCTGGTCTTCATCACAAACTGGCCCAGCGCCTCCACACGCTCTGCCACCTGATGAACTGCAAACAGCTGGTGGTTAGAGAGCCCTGCATCAAAGCTCTGCCCTGGCAACTGTGTTTATGAGTAACATCACTTGGGGGAATTAATCCATGAAGTCTGAGTCTATGGTGCAAGCCAACGAACTCTGCTTCAGAGCTGGCAGGTGGTCAAACCAAGGTGGGCAGTGTATGAACATATTCACCAGATAAAGATGAGGATGAACTTACTCAGGGCTTGAATTCCAGGGCTGTAGCAGGTGAAGCTCTTCTAGACCATCACACCCAAGTATAAGTGGAAAACAGACTACCCCCTTGCCCCCTCTTATTGGGAAATCCTCAGTCTGACTGAGGCTTGAAAGTGCACAGCCAGCCTCCAGCCCAACACATGCCTCAAGATACTCAGAGGTGAAGACCACTACTGGCTATTGGAGGAAAAAAAACCCCAAAACCAAAACGTACAAAAGAAGGGGGTAAGCATCAAATCTCCAAAAGTTTCAATGGTAAACCACTTGTTCTGGTTTTGAGACTCCCAGTCACAGTCAGCTCTGGTGTGATACAGGTACTAGCCACTGGTGCTGGAGACTTCTACTCTGCTGTGCCATCAGTTCTGGTGGCCAGGGGAGCAATGAGGGCCAGAACACAGCTCTGAGTGAGCAGAGAAGTTTGGCATTTGCTATAAGAGTGTGCTACTCAACTTCTCAACAGTGTCTATGGACATCCAGGCTTCATCGGTGGGTCAGCTTTTTTTTTTTTTTAAATATGGGAAAGAGAAGCAGAGGGCAAGCAAGCAACTTTCCCAAGTAGGATCCTCTGGTAGAGGAGAAGTTGGTTCTTTCATACCTCATTTAATCTTAAATCTTAAGCTTTTCAATGCCATGCTGGAGGCTGAGCTCCACATTGCCACATGGCAGGTGATTGCTCTAGAGTTGCACTCTTTCACCCTTTGTCACAGCAAGAGAGCACGCATCCTTAACTTTGATATCATTCCCTGGCGCAGGGTCAGGGAGCACTTTCTGCCTAAGGCAGAGACTGATTTCTGGTGGATTAACTTCTGAAGAGTTATCTTTCAAAACCACCAGCCCTGCAAGCTGTGCCAGAATAATGTTCTCACCTGAAATCTCTACTCAACCAGTCTCACCCAGCCAGAGGACAAGTGCTGTCCACCATTCCTGACAATTTGTCCTTACCATCTCTAACATGAGGTCAGAAGCGAGTTTCTCAAAGTACCGTATAAGCCCACTGAGGAAAAGATACATTTCCCTCTACTTTTGACCATGGAAATGGGCCAAATGATCCAATCAAAAAGACATGAAAACACAGGACAGGAGGTTGTTATGGCAGCTGGAAAGATGCTTGTGTCCAGAACATATCTGAAAAAAACAAACGTTTCACAGACAATGGACAAAGTGTTTCCATTATGTCAATGCAGCCGAGACTCTGTGGAATTGTCTGGCTTAGCCTTACTGATTTTCTGAGGACGCTTATCTTCAACCACAGCCATAATAATCCTGCACCTGCCTAGCACAGGTTTTAGAGTCAGATAATTATTTTGAGGCATTCTCTAATACTGTTTCAAGATAGTTGAAAATTATGCACTAAGGCAAGTAGATCAGCTAAAGCCAATAAGTAGCTCGAGTGGTTTTACAAAGGTCCAGATAAAAAAAAAGACTATTTTTCTAAAACATATTGTTTGGCCTGAACAGGAGGTGTGGACTTCATGCAGATACTATTGAGTCTTTGATCTTTTCTGCGCTGGAAGTCAGTTGGTCCCAATGGTTTCTTCTGGCCTTAAAAATTTATGGATCACATGAACAGAACAAACTTTTATCTATACCTAACATTTTAAGTGATAGAATTGGATCCTTAAAATTGTAAGATTGCAAGTCAAATGCACGTTTGGTATTTCCTTTTTCTGTCCACATTTTTGAGAGCTGCTGTTCAAAACCAGTTGCACAAATAAGGGCAATCCTAGTTCATCCAGCTGTTTGTTTTGGGAACCATAGAGGGAAAGTCATGATCAGAGCAAAAAATGCAAAAGATACAATTTTAGTTTAAAAAGAGAAAAATACAAATTTTGGTTTGGGGGGGGGGGGGGAGCAAACCAAAACCAGAAGAAATGTTCTCTTCTGAAATTTACAATCTCTGCAAAAGTAGTTCTTGGGGATAATTTAAGTGCAACAAAGCTCTGATACAAAATCAATGATATACAGTATCATGAGGGAGCATTGTTTTACAGCAGCATAAGACTTTTGTCTTAGAAATCACATGACAGCTATGCAAACACAGCCTTCCAACCTAAGTTTACCGATTTTACACGACAAAGACATAAATATCCTATGACTATCAATGATACACAAAGTTATGGTATCACTGCATTCACAAGTATAAGTCTTTATGAGCAAAAATGGATTTAAGTATATGCTTAAGGGGCCTGTTAAACAGAGACCCCACTACTTCTGATACAGAAATTACACTGTAAGAATATGATGATTTATGGTAATGTTTCTGTAATGAGGCCATCTCCATTTGTTTAATGATTCCTATTAATAGGATACTCATATAACATATGATTGTCTAATTTAGACAAGAAAATGCTCTATTTACTCCAGAAAAAAAATCTTTTAACCGTTCCCCACCTGAAATTTAAGAATGTTTGCCAGTCCCCCGGTCTTACAAAGCACTAAGAGCTCAATCACTGCATATAGACTCAGATTCCTTTTCAACATCAAAGGCATCAAAACAGATAAAATAAAAGTTTTAATGACCCACTAATGTTTCTAATAAAATGAGCTGTATGTTTTCAGAAGAATACAGTAATATACACATTTTTCTCAAATAAATCCTCTGCAATACGTTGTAATTATAAAAATGAAATAATAAAGGATTTTTGTATCTCATGACAGATAAATTGATACTTATTTGAGAAGCTCCATTAAAATACAGTTAGCTTATTTTTTCCTGAACAGGGGTGGCAGGGCTGAAGTCGGTCCATGTCGTTTCTGTTACGTTAACCACAGATCTTGAAACTGAAGCTGATAATGGTGTGTTACGCACTGAATGCTCCAGCATTGACTCACCCTGCACCTCTGAATCAGCGCTGGATCCCTGCAAGTTATTTCCTTGGGGGAAGGAGGAGGGAGAAGGAGCTGGTTTTGGAAACAGTTATTCCTTTTTAAGCCCTTTCACCTTGTCTAAAATCCTGGCCTCATTAAAGCAAATTCCCACCGACTTCCACAAGGTTGGGTTTAACCTTTGTTTCTGCCACTAAGATGTGCATTCAAACAATGCAAATCTCAGAATGCACTGAGGGGGATATTTCACAGTCTCTTCCCATCCCTGCCTCCCCCCCCCCCACAA